GGTGTGTGTGCGTGTGTAACGGAAGGGTTTCTTAGAGCGCATTGCAGGCATGAATTGTGAAGCCACAGAAACACAACTCCCTATAGAAATCTCATTTGGAGTGCTTAGTGTAATTTTGCTAGCAGCCTCCAAGGCCACCTTGAATATCTGCCAATGAGAATTCCCACAGCAGAAGGTCTTTAGAAATAGAGTTGATAATTGCACGTGGATTGCACGTGCGTCAAAATTTCAGTTTTACAAATGTGTTGAATTGTGTGATGTAATTTCTTGACAATGTTCAGAATAAAAATTGGGATTAACATTTTAAAATCAGAATTAAAATTCAATTCCCAAATAAAGAGTATAAACTGCATAAGGATAATTGATATATGAGAACACTCAAATGCATGTATGTTGAACTTCTTTGCACTGTGTGTAGCCAACCGTGCTAGGAGGTGTGGGAGAAGGACAACAAACTAAACACAAAAGGCATTTCGGAAGAAATTAGTTTCAATTTAGATTTAAAAGTGCATAGCTTCAGTGGCTCTCATACACTCAGATATGACTTTACTGATACAAAAGTACTAAAATATTGACCAGACATCGCAAACAAAACAAGCTGTGCTTCGTAAATTATTATGTATCAGCCAATGTTTTTAAATTAGAAGTATTATATATTCAATAAAAATAAATCATTGTGCAACATGTTTACCAGCAGCATGCAACGTATGTTTTTTTTTCAAATGAGAGACTTGGGATAATTTTTGACCTTGCCTTACTTTTCTCTGAACTATAATTCCTGGAATTGACAACCTTCATATAATCTTCTGTCTCTGTCCTGCGGGAGAGTTTCAAGTTTCTGGAGCAATGTGAGTTGAAAGACAGCTATAGGTAAAACAGTGAATACACAAACTTTTCAAGCGTGTGCTTGAATACATTTTTTTATTATGATAAAGACGGTGAAATGAAACAGCTGTGAGCTGTTTGGAGCAATACATTATAACACCGTTTCCATTTACCAGCAGCGTTGTGCATGATGGATGATTTAGGAAAACACCGATTTCTACACCGGAATATCTTGGAAACAACACGCGACTATGCCAAGAGGCAAACACTTTATCACTACTATGCCATCAATTCAGACATTGCCAATAATTTTGGGAATTACATACAAATTTAGACCAACGTTTTACGAATATAGAAACAAACATAGGCCGAGGAAAGCAGGACGTTTAGAGTACCGTATATGATCATGCACACGTATGTCACACTTTTTTTTTTTTTACAAAGGATCTATCCAACAATATTCACAAAAGTGTCGCAGAGTGCAATGTTCCCAAGCATTTTACTGAAATTAGAACGCTGTTGGCTAATCACTTTATTATCAGATTTCCAATGGGAGTTTAACGGCGTCATCACACTGTCATATGGAACCTGGAGCAACATTCCTCAAGTGCCTAATTATCATCATTAGATTAATTAATTTTGCTCTCAAATTACATTTCAACATGAACGGAATTAAATATTTGCCGTGCCACACCTCGGTCACTGATCTTGATCCTCTCACACGTGCAATGAAGGTCTCGAACGTTGGAAAAAAAAGTCAATGCATCCACGCATCTGTTGCTATTTCTGCATACGCCCGCAATTATAATCTCGTTGAATTGATCATAACATCCTTTCAAAATTGTTTTGTTTTAACCACCGTGCCAAATCTTTCATTAATACAGCAATTATACCGCCGCAGTGAAGTATAATCTGCGATATGACATCGCTTACCTTTGGCAAAAACAAAAATAGGTTATATCAAAGGCATCTCAATGCACACAAACGTAACCAAAGTTACATTCTATTATATACATGTTACGTATAAACAAGCGGGTAAGGACAAGTTCATTGTAACAGCTGTTGTTGATTTGGGTACACACAACTTTATTACAGCTATTCTTATTTTTCAGAAGTACCCAAGCTCTTCTCCAGCATGCATTTCTATAAAATAAATGTACTTGACACGAACACAGCAATAATTCACGTGAAACATAGGGAGCAATTGCCATCACGAATTAAAGCTTGAACTTTTATTGTTTCACTTTTAGATTAATGAAACACCTGCCATGGGAATCGCAGTTCCTGTCTCTCTGGTCACCTGACTTTCTCTGTTGCCTTTTGCCATCTCCCCATCTCCCCAACTCCCACGAACGACGTAACTGGGCTATTGAATGTTACATTCGACACCCAAACAGCCGTTGTGATCTACGACAATGTGCAATGGCGCATTGTCACACACTGCAAAACCATGCCCACGAAGAGAAAACAACGTACAGTGAGGAAAACAAGTATTTGATCCCCTGCTGATTTTGTACGTTTGCCCACTGACAAAGAAATGATCAGTCTATAATTTTAATGGTAGGTTTATTTGAACAGTGAGAGACAGAATAACAACGAGAAAATCTAGAAAAAACGCATGTTAAAAATGTTATAAATTGATTTGCATTTTAATGAGGGAAATAAGTATTTGACCCCCTCTCAATCAGAAAGATTTCTGGCTCCCAGGTGTCTTTTATACAGGTAACGAGCTGAGATTAGGTGCACACTCTTAAAGGGAGTGCTCCTAATCTCAGCTTGTTACCTGAATAAAAGACACCTGTCCACAGAAGCAATCAATCAATCAGATTCCAAACTCTCCACCATGGCCAAGACCAAAGAGCTCTCCAAGGATGTCAGGGACAAGATTGTAGACCTACACAAGGCTGGAATGGGCTACAAGACCATTGCCAAGCAGCTTGGTGAGAAGGTGACAACAGTTGGTGCGATTATTCGCAAATGGAAGAAACACAAAAGAACTGTCAATCTCCCTTGGCATGGGGCTCCATGCAAGATCTCACCTCGTGGAGTTGTAATAATCATGAGAACGGTGAGGAATCAGCCCAGAACTACACGGGAGGATCTTGTCAATGATCTCAAGGCAGCTGGAACCATAGTCACCAATAAAACAATTGGTAACACACTATGCCGTGAAGGACTGAAATCCTGCAGCGCCCGCAAGGTCCCCCTGCTCAAGAAAGCACATATACATGCCTGTCTGAAATAAAAAAAAATTCTCCATAATGCCTCGCTATCATTTTTGATGGGTATCTATAATTGGATCATTCTCCGGTTACTTTAGTGCCGGGGGAATTATTATCGGGTGACCAGATGGGAGCCACGCGAGTAGGGGCCTGCGCTGGACACACGCTCCCCACCACTGATGGATGTTACTGAAGGTTGAGCTCAATATCTAATGTCAACATTCAAATGCATTGGCCAACAAAACGCGTACTCTTTGGTTCTTATCGGGAAAAGTCATGTAGGCAAAAAAAATATGAAGTTAATCAAATCACGACGTTTCGGAAGCAACGCAAGCCTCCGTCATCAGGTGGGACAGTCACAGCAATAAGTCATTTGCTGTAGTAGTCATTTGCTGTAGTCGTCCACTACACGCAAATTACTTCTTGCTGTGACTGTCCCACCTGATGACGGTGGCTTGTGTTGCTTCCGAAACGTCATGATTTGATTAACTTTACTTTTTTTTTACCTACGCGACTTTTCCCGAAAGAACCAAAGAGCATGGATCATTGCAGTCACGAAAACTTCAAATCTAGAACTAAACATGTCCAACGTTCTCCAGCACAGATGCCATATTTGATAACCCATTGTCTGGAATGGTTAACTTCTTTCGTGTGGACGCCGCTTAATTAGATTCGTGCATTTAGAAGTTGAAGAAAATTGGTGGTGTCATGTCATATACTGCTTTACTTGTAATACAGATGTAAATACATGAGAGTATTAATAGTGTGAAGCTGGCTAAGGTGTATAAACACATTTAGATACAATATTAAGGTAGACTGTGTGAAGATTATCCAAAACACAGAATATCTGATGATCATGGCCCTTCTTTCTATTTCGCAAGTCATAGAAGCTATATACTGCAATCGAGAAATACATAATGATATACATGCTACACTGAATCACCTGGCTTATAATGAGACATAGCCGGATGCAGTGATAATGCATGATGTTCATTTTTTTTCATATCCAATATCCTAACCCAGTAATGGACATGCGTATGCTCCCCCTTGCCATGCCACTGAAGTAAATAACACAAGCAGCATTATAATTTGATACCTTTTAGAACTGTGATTACAGCGATACGGAGTGTGGTTGCATCCCTGTGGTATGGTTGGTTGTGGGTACTGATACAAAATCGTTAAATGCAATGGCCCAAAGCTCACAAGCAGTGCCGATGGTCGTGACTGCTAAAGCATATACACATAGAATGAAAATAAAATAAATTGATAAAATAAAATAACACAATAATATTCTCCCCATAAAATAAAATAACGCAATAATATTCTCACTGTGAGAATATTATTAGAATATTATTATTATATTATTGTGTTATTTAACACAATAATATTCTCACTGTGAGAATATTATTGCGTTATTTTATTTTATCAATTCATTATTTTATTCTCATTCTACGTGACTTTACCGAAAGAACCAAAGAAGATGAATCATTGCAGTCACGAAAGCTTTAAATCGAAACATATACACATAGTCGAACAATTTTCAAAGTGTGGTTTCGCAAAACACAGTGGGTTGTACTTACGTTAATAAATAAATAAAATTCTGGAACGATTCCTGTTTACCTTCCATAGCATAAAAGGAGAGCCTCGGATTGAGTTTGGTAATTGTTGGCTGGTTGAAATACATGTTTTTTCTGAAGCACGTATGTTGTATATTGCACGTGTTAACATTACGACAGTACAGTATGTTTTCCCTATTACTGTACTATCTCCAATTAAACCTGAATGTATGATCTAATAAATGTTTGCATCGATACTACGGACAATTACTCCGTGTACAATTAATGTGTTGTCATCTTAATTGCACCTATGGAATTCAGAGGGATAATACGCGGAAGCATATTTGTTTTCTGAAATCCATGAATCGTGACAAATAAGCGCCTATTGATGATTCTCTTTCCCCATATATAATGCAGCATTCAATTGTCATTTCATCCTCATCAACCATGAAATAGGGAGAAAGCCCAGAGCCTCTTCACAGATAACATTCACTATGAACCTTCACACACACACGCCATTTGGAACTATTCAATTTCAGAAAAAAATAGCTGAGTATAAACAGCATTTTGGAATTTACATTTCTTAAAAAACGTTGATAATGTAAGTTTTTTTGCGTACAAATGTACATACAACGCGCGCATGCGAAAGCACGGATACAACGCCCAACACACGTTAAGCCGTTTTGTTTGCGTATTCCAGCAGAAGCATAAAAAAATAGCAAATGAATGCGGCGATTGACATTTGTTCGTCGACATTTAAGGTAGCATCGTTGGGCCAGAATGCAGCGCAATAATGCGGACAAGACGGCGTGCCGAGCGTGCGACGCGGATGTCAGTAATCCAATGGGCTCTAGAGCCTCCAAGTGATCTCGCAGGTCGTGGCCACCCGATAAATGTTCAACCCTCATCATGCGGACACCCTTTCCCATTAACATGCACAGAGAACCACTCAAACGGCACAATTTCTGCAGTTCTCATTGATTGGTCATGTAATTGTTATTTAAAAAAGAAAAGATTGCCTGATCACTTAGTTTTTAGCTTTAAGCTGACATCACAAGAAACTTACCCCATTTTCCCATGCATTGTTGAAGAAGGGTAAATATACAAAACGATCATTTAGGATTTTTTGTATTATTATTCTAACTACAAAAACAGTGAGAAAAAATAGTTGACTTAATAGTAAGCAGATGGATTTGGCTGCATTAAGAGTGAGCAGACATTTACACAGATGTGTGTGGCGTTTTCTGGTTAACAATTAACATTCGGAGATCAAGGGCAACTATGCTAGTTCTGAGTAATTAATAAGCAATTACTGGGTTAATAACAGGTGAGGGTTAGGATGGGGGTTACATTTGTTTGTTTATTTTATAATTCTTTGACAGTGACACTTGCCGTGGAGTTGAGACTTTAACCCCAAGCCTGGCAACTGTCTAAAATTGAAAGTTTGTATTCCCTAAATTTGTGGGAATTGTATTTACAAATGCATAGCACTGTTATCCCTTCTATGCAATGTGAATTCATTAACACGACTTAATGAGATATAGGGTATGTGCAGCCTAAGAGAACACTTGCATTTCACCTCATTTATCTCATAATCATCCTCACAGATTTACAACGAATATTTGCGTGAAGCTACATTGGCCATTATGTATCTAAAGGGTGTAATTTCGCACCTCCGATTAGCACACCTGGCTACACAGGGTGCGAACGAAGTTCAACATACATTTGGGAGCATGAAAACAAAAAACAAATAGGGAACAAGATATAATCTCAATGCAGAAGAGAAAGGTTACAGTAGATGATGAAACAGTGACGTATTAGGAACTTTTTTTTTCTTTCACTATTTTTCTCTCCCTCTCTTTGAAACAGAGGCTGAGATTCGAGAATGTAGCAAACGAAATCGGTTTCAACCGCACTCAGAAGACAAACGTTTCCTTCAAGCAAAGACGCGACGTTAAATGCACGCATCTCTGGTGGTTGGCCTGGTGGCGGAGGGTAGGGGCGGGTGGGGGGCAAAGCTTCACTTGATCACTGCAGGGCTGTGTAGGGGAGCAACCACACAATTGGGGGCATGAGTCCAGCTGTGGCCACACCACGCCCCGAAGGCTCTCGTCTTGGGTCGACAAATCTCGCCGACGATTTCCCCCCGAAGCCGTACGGCGCCGCCCCAGCCTCCACCCCACCTCCCTCCTTGGGTGCCACCTACGAGGCGGCCGGGAAAGCGGGACGGGGACGGGGAGGTGGGATCGGGACCGGAAACGAATGGCCTCCCCCAAACCCCATCCTCACACGACGGACACGGCGCTGGCCTCGGCGCGGAGCGTGGCCACGACGTCGCTGCGCTGCAGGCGCCCCAGCGCGTCCAGCAGCAGCTCCTCGCTGGCTCCCTCGCGGGAAGACCACGCGGCGAGGAGCGCGTGCGCCGGTCGCTCGCCCTCGGACAGCGCCGCAATCTCGGCCTCGGCGTAGCCCAGCGCGGCCGCCAGAGCCTTCCAGTCGGTGGCATCGTCGGCGCCCGTGCCGGACGCCCCCAGGAGCAGCCTCTCCACCTCCTCCTGCTTGTGGGGGGGCAGCGCGTCGTACAGCCACTTCGTGCCTGCCGCCGCGTTGCCTGGCAGAGCCGAATGGGGCATGGTGGTAGAGGTCGTCAGCATGTCCCCACGCAGGCCACTGTGTAAAATGGCGAAGGTGCCGCCCTGTGATAGCTTCATCACGTCACTGCTGACAGAAGGGAGCTTTAGAGAGCCCCGCTATAGAGGATTTTGTTCCTGTTCTTGCACACTTGCCAGGCATTACATGATAGGGAATACATTATAAGGTGGCACTCGTTACACACAAAGTGCTTGCCACAAATGAACCACAACACCCTGCTGAACCCGTCAAGGAGCATGAACCATCACGAGAACTCCGCTCATCCTCGCAGTGGCTTTTGGCTGGCCATTGAGCGGCGATGGTCACCGCATCGCGTGCTTTCATGTGCACTTCTGCGGCCATCTGGAACGCTCTTCTGCTATTAGGAAGCCACTGGAGCTATGCACTTTTAAATCTAGATTGAAAACTCATTTCTTAAGAGCTGCTTTCGGTGTTTAGTTTGTTGTCCATCCCCTGCACCTCTGATTAGCACGGTTGGCTACGTATGGTGCGGACGAAGTTCAACATACATCTTCGGAGGTACCCACACTGTACCCAATGGCATGTAAAGTGGGGATCAACTAACTGCGGTTTACCCATTTATACTGCTGGGTGGACAGAGGAACGGGGATGTGAGATACGTGGACATTGTTCAATAACTGTGCCGGGATATTGAACCGACGACATTTAAATTGCAAGTCCATTGTGCGAAACGTCACACCACAGTAGCATCCCTAATGTTCAAAAGAGCAACACTGAATCATGTTCTTGGTTCTTTCGGTAAAGTCCCTTCGAAGGTAAATAATAAAATATTAAAAATAAAACAATTCTCACGACGTTTCGATTGCAACACAAGCAATCATCATCAGGTGTTTTCACCTGATGGTGCTGTGGTGTTTCACACCCGATGATGATTGCTTGTGTTGCCATCGAAACGTCGTGAGAATTTTATTGTTTTCTTTTTATTATTTTATTATTTCCCTTTACGTGACTTTACCGAAAGAACCAAGAATATGAATCCCTGCAGCCACGAAAGCTTTAAATCGAAATTCAACACTGAATCGTTAGTAGCACATGGGAACTGATTATTGAGTACAAGCTCATGTTTAGTAAGTGCTAACACATGGTTGCTAAACACCAACGAATGCCTCTTTAGTCGGTGACCCTGCAAACAAAAGCCCCTTTTAGCCAACGTGCAAGTCCAATTAGCGTAATGTTTTAATGAGGTGCGTATCTTCGACTAACGTTTGTTATCGGCAGTGTCTGTTTTGACAAACGCTTACTCCACGCCATTTCCTGTTGACTCAATCATTTCCAGGTGCAACTGATTGCATCCCGATGTCCGATCGCTTCGAACGCACCGCGGACACGTGGCAAACAATTCACACTTGCTTCAGCAAGCTCTCATGCAGAGAGCGTATTGCCACATATTAGATGCCAAATAGCTACGGGGAATTTTGTACAACACGAATACCCTTCGCGTAACTTCGTGCGATAACGAGCATAGCATTGCTGCAGTATCACAACAGATGGAAATGTAGCCTGAACTGATTAAATTGATAAACTGCATGAAGGCAAGGCATCGATCTGTTTGCACAGCACAATCCTGTGGAACATGCTGAACGCGACGCACAAAAGTGTGGAGACGTGATGTCACACACTGCCCGAGCAACCTGAAATGCGGTGCAGTGTTAAATTCGGTGATCTGAATGCATTATTCACACGCAGTATTAAAATGGGATAATTGCATCACCCGATTTAAGCAGATCAATGGATAAAACGACTCTAATCGCATATATCAAGCAACCGCTATTCCATACCTGCACAGGAATATAAAGCGTGCCTATTTTCTATTGGTTGCAAAGACTTTACAGTGCATTATTATCGAGCAGCATTCGTTTGAATTAAAACATTCTTGGCCGGTTTCAACCTTTTGGGTTTCATCAGAAGAAGCAGGCTTTTTAAACAAATACTGGCAGGGTTGCCAAATGGTATGAGCAAAATCACTCTGTCTGAGCCACTGGACCCTGGTCAACAAAAAATCAATACATCTGGAGATACAGAACGGAGATCCATTTATTTAGTTACTAATTTGCCCATAATGCTCCACAACATGATAGTGAGTTTATGTAATGTTCCAATCAAGGAGTGTTGTGGGTTTTTTAATGTCCGCTAAATACACATAGCACATAATTGACACATAAATATATATTTTTTAAGCATAATAAACACACCTGTCCTTAATCACAACAGCTCACATCCGATGGATACGCGCAACTGAATGTGGATGGGATGAAGTGCGTCGAGCAATCGGACGAACTCCTGCTTCACCTGCTGCAGATTGAGGCTGCCGCTGCTCCTGTGCGTTCTGCACGTCGACAAACACACCGCTGTCTTGATGCTGCTTCTCCCCGTCGGCCGCCTGGCTGTACTCGCCGCGCGCTTTGCTGCCCTGAACGTTCTTGCAGCTGTGCCACCTGCCAAACAAACGCCGGTGGCAGTTTCGGAGGCAAACGGGTGCCCTCGTGGTGTGGCTGAAATTACCCAGTGATCTTTTCTGATCCCAAAACTCAATGTTTGTGAACGTTTGCCCGAAATACAGTTACTATAGAGGGGGATTAAAATTGGTCTGAGAATGCTGCGGTGATATCCCTGACCAGATTTGCATCAACCAGTCTAAATGCAGGGTAGCTGAACGCCACTGGAGAATGCCATCAGGAGTTCGGGGAAGGGCATGTTTATACCACAGGCAGGTCCTAAGCCACCCATATATCTGCTCAGTAGTCCTCCCATAGCCCCTCCTAATGGAAGCCTATATCGGGGAAAGAAGTGCATTACATTGGCTCCTTCAAAGAGCCCTTCATCCTTACTCCCTCGACCCTTCCCTATCCAAAATTCCTGGCATGGGCGACCGCACAGCTGTCAGACATTAGAGTTTGCAGATTGGTACCAGCCTTGCACCCCAACCGAGCCAGGTGAACTGCATTTATGTTGGGCCCTTTTAAAGCGTGTGGGAATTGAGTGTCAGCAAACCCATTCCAATTAGTTTTTTTCCTGACATACAATATTATTTTCTCTGTACGGATACCAAGTGTGTGCGAGTGCATCAAGAAGGAAAGAAACGCACGTGATGCTTTCTCATGTGTTTCTGGGTTGTGTCTTGTGTTTTTCTCTCTTCATCCAAATCAAAATAGTTGACAATCAAACTGAGTTATATATATGATTTACAAAGGTCCCATGACCATTACGAGGTTTTTTTTATTTATTCATTTATTTTATATTCTGTGATATTTCTAAAGGAAAGACAATGGAAATTTAATTAATGTTGTTAAAATAAACCGTCATTTAATTATCAGCCAGCACAACTAGGAAGATTATGTGTCACTGACATTGCACCTCAGATGTGAACACTGGTTAATTATTTGAATAGCTACGTAACTAAAGGAACGAACTCGTCAACGTAACGTTATTGCAATTGCGTTATAAGAGATTTATATTGGCCAGGGGACAATGTGGCTCAGTGGTAGATGTCATTAGAGGCAGACGGACGGACAAAGTTTATGCATGAACACTTTCAGCTGGATTGGAAATTGTTAAGAAAGGAAAGTGGGCTTGGGCAGGTAACTTTGCTAGATAGGATGATTGCCAATGGACAATAAACAAACCCAGTGATGGAATGGCAGGTGAGAGAGAGAGGATGACGATTAGAGATTGGTCTATGGAAGTGGACATCTCTGAGCTACCGCTGAAAATGTTTCAAATAACCTCTCATCGATACTCGGGGACAGCACCTTTTGCACGTGAACAATGAATTCAGTTCATGTGTAGGAGCGAGATAGATTGTGGCATTGCAGGCATGCGACAGCGTGGGGAGGCTTTCATCCAATAGACAGATGATAAAATATGGGAAATCACTACCTGGGTGATTGATAATGTTTTTGATCAGCTTTTAGAAAGTAAAGTTATCACATTAAATCTATGCAAAATCTTACAAAAGTGCCCCTCAAAATGGGTGCTTAATTAATGTGGCGGTGAACTAAAAACACCATTAGGGGCCGTCCATAAATGACGTCACGCTGTTTTGGATGATTTTTGACCCCCCCCCCCCTCTTCGTCACACGGCGTCACAAAAAGTCAGACCCCCCTCAAATATGACGTCACCAAGCTCTGCCCCCCCTCCCCCCCCCAAATAAAACATGCTTCAAATCGCTTTAAACTATTGTCATTGTAGTGCGTATTTAATGTGGCTCTGCACTCTGATGTTGTAGGAGGAAACATTTAGTAAAAAGTCTATTTAATTAAGTATAACGTGTTGTCTATATTTATTTAAAGTTGCGCATTTTGATGTGACGTCACATTTCTCAAACCCCCCCTCCCCCTCGTCACACATCGTCACAAATGTCCGCCCCCCCCCCCACCCCCTAGGTGCGTGACGTCATTTATGGACTGCCCCCTTATCCTGAAAATTTCCCCACCCGTAATGTTACCCTAGGATTCGTGTGTCCCTGTATATGATTGTTTTTTGACGATTGCTGTGTGCGTTTTTACGTTGTGAGATGCATGGGACAAAGGTGACTCGGCTCAGAAAGGTGAAACATAGCACGTGCTACTACTGTGGAGCACGAACAACATAACTGCACCCAAGTATTGTCTTGCTGTTCTCATTAAATTGCAGTGTCCGCTAACCAAGAAGGATCGCAGAATGCACTTCAGCATGCTGCAATTCTATTTTCTTAGAACATCTGCATTATGTTTGCTCTGGCAGAATGGCTGGCATGAAATTTCAACAAAAGATCTTTCATGAATGATATTTTTTCGTAAATAATAATAATAGGCAGTGCGTAAAGCACAAACACATGATGATGCCACCCACAGCAAGAGTTGCTCAAGTGCAATAAACTTGAAATAAACTGCTGGCCATTGCCAAATGCACACTTATGAAAACATTAAATCAAATTGCGTGCGAGTGATCTCACGCAATTATCTAACTGCATGCACATATGCATGTACACATGCGTGCAAGCACCGTGCACAATATAAAGATTAACACGTGTCTGTAGTAACCAGAGGATGCCCCACGCTCACAGGTTAACTTATTCCACTGCTACCACTTCACTGCCCATGCAGAGTGTGGGTGCATCGTGTTCATGACCTCAACACACGATCCACTAATCCTGCCTCCATTTCACCGGGCTGTGGGCGTGAGCCATCACGCCCCGCCACCATTGCCAGTGTCTCCCACCGAGGCACGGAGAAGAAGGCGCCGAACCTCACCTCTTAAAGACAACGTACGCCACCAGGCCCACCACGACAGCCGCCATGATGGAGCAGTAGACGGGGATGATGTCGCGGGAATGGTCACCCAGCGGCTCTTGGCTGTTTGACGGCGTTCCGTTTGTCCCATTGACTGCGTGACCACTCTCCTCGGAGCCTTCCTCCTGTTCCTTCTCCTCGTCCCCCTCCTCGTCCTCCTCGTCGTCATTGGCTTTGTCAGGAGGGTTCTCATCTGGGAATGGATTTTCTGAAATGGGGTCTTCGGGAAAGGGATCTTGCGGGAAGGGGTCTTGCGGGATGTAGTCGTGGTCACTTGGAAAAATATCTTGGCTGCTCGGCAGTGAATCGCCTTGCTCTGGATCTTTGTCTGAAGAATACACAGCACGGGTTTGGGGGTTATTTTATTATTATCATTAAATTACATGCGTATAAGTGCGAGCTTGCTTGTTGTTATTAATGACGTAATGGGGTGGGCCACAGAGGAGAAAGAGACCTGTGTTTCACATTTGACTTTGTTTATATCTTATTAGAGTAATGAAGTTTTGTTTGAAAATCCATATAAATAGATAAATAGCATAAGCTCTTAAGGCAGGCCTTCGTTTTTCCATTCAGGATATATTACCTCCAGACAAGTTGTCTGATGTTAACTATTGATGTAACATTACCGTGAACATGCCTATAGGTAATTAAATGTAAATTGTACAATTTCCACATTTAAGTTATTTAAAAAATATAATCGCAGTTGTGCAAATTGCAGGTCCAAATCCAACTTACGTGGAGAAAAGAAGTGTTACTTCGAAATAAGTTTCCAGTTTCGGGACAAACAGATCAAAGTACCCAAGATAATGAAATTGATCATGGGGGAAGGAACACATTTGACTTCGGTTCCACGTAAATACATAAATAAATAAAGAAAACCAACAACACTCGGCATCCAGTAAGCAAAAGAAAACAGACTGGTACGTTTTGCACCGCAGGAAGTCTGCGGTTGCGCCGTTGCGTGCGACACTGAGAGGAGACTGTGTAACTCTCTGGAATTCCTCAGCTGATGGGCTCTGGGATCAGCCGAGGGCTCAGTGACAGAGCACGCGGCAATAAATCGTGCGCAGCGCGAGAGTGACAGCTCCACTCGGCTGCAGCTTCCCGTTTTCACAGCTCATGGCAAAATCCACCGCTGTATATAACAACCTGTCAGATTGCATTCACGCAAGACTTCGCGCTGTCACAAGAATTCTGCAACCTGCCGCTATGGCTTACGCGCTATTTCAATGTTACCGTGGTAAAGCGTTCGCTGGAGAAGATTTACGTTGCAAAATGAACAGGATATGCTCATTGATTTATAAAAAAAAATATTTATATATACTCTGTAGATATGGGTAAAAAGGCAAAGGTGCAGGATTGCAATCGCTTGCTCAACGCACCTCCGACGAGCACTGTTGGCTGTGTATGGTGCGAAAGAAGTTCTACATTTAATTTATTTCAGCTTATTTATTTTGGTATAGCCCTGTGAGCCATTTCGGCTCTTGAATCGGGTGCAACCACAACAGACAAAAAAAACAAAAACCCGAGCAAGAAAACATCTTAAAGTGTTCTATGTGACTGTGCAAACAGAAAATCCATGAAAAAAACCCAGCAAAATATTCCTGAAAAAAAGCACCGTACACCAACAACGCTGTGTGCAAAAAATCCCAGTGGGATGCAAGTCAAACAACAACAACAACAACAACCACAAGAAAACTTAGATTAAGGCCATCAGTCTAACTCCGCACTACAACAAAACAAACATGTCCAAACCAAACAACGTTTTCCAAATCACCAAAAACTAAGGCCATAATTGCAACGTAACAGTGATCACAGGGACTGTGTATGCATTCACCACTGCTTGCAGAAGGGCCTTCATGAGACGGAGCTATATAGCCCCTCTAGAGGGTGTTTTGCCAACTCGTCCGCATTGGTAAGACATCTTGGAAGTGGTGCGAGTACCCACACTTTATCCCAACCACGTGCGACCTACCGGTCGACAAACTGGCGTACCCATTTATACTGCTGGGCGGACAGAGATTTAATAAAGTTTTCCCCATTGTTTCTGCTACTTCGCCAGCAGATCGAACGGGTGACCTCTGGATGGCAAGTCCAGTGTGCTAACCATTGCCCCACAGCATCATCCCATATATCTTAGTATCTTTTGTAATATTATCAATTGGTCACACATCATTAAATGCATACTGATGGGATATTTAGTTAATATTACTTGAATAATTATATTGTGCTTTTTTTTATTTCAGTTTAGTAATTTTCAACATTTTCAGCGCTGTATTAAAATGTGGTATCACGTTATTAGTTTTCACTCTCATATTATTTATAGGAGGATAATTTGGCAAAATATAAATTACTTCTTGGATCAAAATGTTAAATTGGAACATATACTGATGTTACATCATGAATTATAAAACCCCATTGGTACAGTTTCTTAATAATTAACTGCATTACACTCGTATTAAATATTTCACACATGTAATAAAAAATACGTAGAAAATACAAGGCAAATTCACAATCACCAACGCACTGATGCATTCACAATATAAACATGTAACATACTTGCTCAAGATAAACGTTTCTCCTATAATATAAATATCACGAAAATCTTGACTTAAAGCTTTCGTGACTTCAAGCCACGTAGCTAGAAAAAATAATAAAATCCAAATCACGACGTTTCGATCGCAACACAAGCAATCGTCTTCAGGTGAAAAAGAGACGATAGCTTGTGTTGCCATAGAAACGTCGTGATTTTTATTTTATTCTTTTTTCTATCTACGTGGCTTTACCGAAAGTCCCAGAGAATATCACGAAAATAATGAAATTGACATCACCGTACGCTCATACTCGCGTGGAACTTAACTGTAGCATGGCCACACATACGACTTTAATTCATCTTTATACTGGGCCAGATTCACAATAGAACACACGTGTTCTGTGTTCGCAGTTTGTGTGCGAAGGTCATCTATGGGGGGTTCGATGTCAAAAAGTGTGCAAAGGCCCCACTGCAAAGCAGACTCTCCATCTTGGCAGGAAGAACTTCAACTTGAGCCTAAATTAAACACTCACCTCTAACCTCGTCTCTTCAGGACTCCACAACTCATGATTCATGGCCTGGCGCCAGCGGCAAAATTTAACTTAACCCCGTTGGGCAGTTGGATAACCCAGTGGGGTGATGCACTTTCTACTGAGGAGGCAAACTGCAAGCATTCGTCGAATTGGCTTCAATCTCCGCTCAATCATGCTGGCTGACAACATTAAGGAACACTGTCAAAGGCACAATGATGCCATTGGAAGTGTAAGGTCATTGTTTGACTGATGTTACGTCTGATATTTCAAAATCAACTGCATTGGCTGATTTGGAAATGAATGAATGTGTTCCTTTGGGGTTGAGCACATCCCTATGAAATGTCATGTATCCCAGTCACCCTGTTTACTAGACGTAAAGTTAAAGTTAAATGTGTAAATAATCTTACGAAAAGCAAAGCATTGCATAAGAGGTGGAGATCCGCTGATTAGAATATTGTCAAAATCGGAACGACGAAGGGAAATATGGGACAGATATCAAATTAAACATTTGCAAGACAGTCAATATCATTTGCATGATACAGATCATCATGCATCTGTACAAACGCATCTACTGGACATCTGTAAATAACCTGCAGAGCTCATCGGATTTCTCCAGGATAAATAAAGATTCTGATTCTGAGACGGTCTGGTTTAACATTAACCAAGCACATATATAGATTTACTGTACATGTGTATGATTTCAATATTATAATGTAGAAGATAGGTATTTAAAAACCTTAACATAGTCTGTAAAATATGCTTAGGATGAATGTTGTAATGCTACTTTTACATCAGGAATGTCCATAAAAAGACAAACCATGAAGCATTTGTACAACAATGTACAGTGAATGACCTCATAAATATAAAAAAATAATATCCTAAATACACTGGCAGGCAAATGTCTTATCCAAAAAAATCAGGTTGTAAAATAAATGTCAAGTGCTGCGAAGGGAATTAATGGCTTTGAGATTTGGCAGCATTGTGATGTCATTGTGATGGTGATATCCGAGAAACATCTGCTTACAATGCACACAGCAGACATGTGGCGCTCACTAACAGATTTAAATTCTGGCAAATTGTTTATCATATTAAAATCAAACGTATAATATTTTGACCACCAAACACAAATCCAGCAGGGCAGTCTACAGGTTAAAAGGTACATGCCCCCAACAAGCACACGTATAAAATGATCCTACAAAACAAGCAATTATAAGATCGCACTCATTCCACACCAAATGTTTGCCACAAATGAACCACAATACCTTGTCAAGGAGCATAAGCCATCACGCAAACTCCAGTCATCCACACAGCGGCTTTTGGCTAGCCACCGAACAAAGACGGTCACTGCATTGAGCGCTTTCAGGCGCGCTTCTGCGGCCGTCTGGAATGCTCTTCCTTCCAATATTAGAAAGCCACTAGAGCTATGCACTTTTAAATCTAGATTGAAAACTCATTTCTTTCGACCTGCTTTTTGTGTCCTTCTCCCGCCCCTCAAATTAGCATGGTTGGCTACATACAGTACGAAAGAGGTTCAACATACAGTGAGGGAAAAAAGTATTTGATCCCCTGCTGATTTTGTACGTTTGCCCACTGACAAAGAAATGATCAGTCTATAATTTTAATGGTAGGTTTATTTGAACAGTGAGAGACAGAATAATAACAACAAAATCCAGAAAAACGCATGTCAAAAATGTTATGAATTGATTTGCACTTTAATGAGGGAAATAAGTATTTGACCCCTTTGCAAAACATGACTTAGTACTTGGTGGCAAACCCCTTGTTGGCAATCACAGAGGTCAGATGTTTGTTGTAGTTGGCCACCAGGTTTGCACACATCTCAGGAGGGATTTTGTCATGCTGGAATACCCATCCACGACCCATTTTCAATGCCCTGGCTGAGGGAAGGAGATTCTCACCCAAGATTTGACGGTACATGGCCCCGTCCATCGTCCCTTTGATGCGGTGAAGTTATCCTGTCCCCTTAGCAGAAAAACACCCCCAAAGCATAATGTTTCCACCTCCATGTTTGACGGTGGGGATGGTGTTCTTGGGGTCATAGGCAGCATTCCTCCTCCTTCAAACACGGCGATTTGAGTTGATGCCAAAGAGCTCCATTTTGGTCTCATCTGACAACACTTTCACCCAGTTGTCCTCTGAATCATTCAGATGTTCATTGGCAAACTTCAGACGGGCATGTATATCTGCTTTCTTGAGCAGGGGGATCTTGTGGGCGCTGCAGGATTTCAGTCCTTCACGGCGTAG